TCCAAGTAACAAGTTCAAAAATATATGAGCACTTTGCAGACGAGAACTATCACTTTTACGCACAGAACACCACCCCTGTTCTGTGCTTTTAGGTAGGCATTTGAATAACGAACTTCGCTCAATGTTTTAGGTAATGTCCGTCTGTCGGTGGGGTCACAACGCGCGTGTTTGCAAAAATTGCGTGAAACGCTCCGAAATAATTGATTTCGTTACAATCAATAAATTTCACTTCATGATTTAACCTAAACTAAATACATTTTCCTTTAGAGTCTAGAGCTTTTGAAATGGGAAATCGTAAAGCTTGCTCTGAATCACATTTCTATTGAGATCAAAAAGCGGCATTATTCGTTTGTCTTCTACGTAGGATATTTTTCTACATCTATGCAAAGCTAAAATTTTATATAGTTTCAGAGAAAATCGTATTTAAATATCCCAACGAATCCCTCAGGGAGGATTTAAGACTTCAAAATAGATTTGAACCCCAATGCTTTGTTCCGACAAAATGTGTAACAATACATTACGAGGGGGCATTTTCATGTAATCTGTCTAGGTATATACAGTATGGTCCGAACCATCCGTCCATATCCCTTTTATAACTCAGGAACTTACTAAAATGTCTGCATTCTGAAGTCTGTAGTATGTTAATAATAATATGAATTGTACTTTATTGACTTAATACGTAACGCAAAAAAAGATGGATATATCTGTAAGTAATCAATCTTATATACAGCCCAAAAGATCAATCAAGCGTTCTACCGTTGACCTTGAGAACTGAAAAAACAACCAAAACGCAATAAACTTGAACATAAATGAAAAATAAACCGAAACGAAACGAAACAAAATATGCGCTTTCTTTTTTCTTTTCAGTGATGCCACAGAGCGTTGAAGTATGCCTGATTCCGTTTCCCCATATTGTAGGAAAAAGATCTTTTGAGATTTCTTTGAGGTGCTTAAGTACCACTAGCAACTGACGATATCTACCACTTCTTAGTCGGTTTTTCGAACGGGAGGTAACTTTTGTAGCGAGATACCTACTCTGGAGTTTTCAATTCAAAAATTCGCCAGTAGAACACCGCATTACGAGAAGAGATCATCTCCGCTCGGCGCTCCATACAAAATATTATTGCTGGGTAGAGTTTCTGTATTGCCACGTCTGCTCCTGAGACCAAGAATAAATCTTATGCAGGCATTTTGATAATATCCTGTCCAACATATCCCAGTTGCATATTTTCTTGTCATCGTAGTAAAACACTTGCTATTTACTGCACTTAAATTCACCCTAGTGATTACTACCGTAAATGTTTCCACTCTCCTATTATTGTTATTCTGTAGCTTTCTAGTAGGTATACGGTCCTCCCTAACTAATCGCTTTTTTCACTTATGTCTTTGCGGTATTAGCCGCCCAGTAACAAAATTCGTTATTAATATTGTATCCCCCATTATCGGATTATCCCGGTTACCAAACAGGTTAACCTGGTTAGGTGTTATCGTAATGCCCCGTATGGCAAGAGGGTGCCGTTTTATTCTCGCACATTTCAAACATTTCAAAATGAATGCAATATGTAGTTTAATGCTCCTTATCCGAGTTTGTTACAAAAGTAAAGTAATGTAAATCTTCCAAAGTACTACATCTAAAAGCTTAATTAAATATGTACCTACTTAAAGTAATGCATTCTGTTATATGTGTCCAACATTGTGTACGTGTAGAAATGTAAGAGGTACTTTTTGATAAATTTGAGCAAATAAAAACAAGCACATCTTGATCAGGAAATAAATATATGACAATTATACGATGAGTGATACCCATAAATATTTATTAAAATTAATATTTATATTTGAAAGATTGTTTATTTTCTATTTCTTTTTCGGGATTACCGAAGTACCTACTTCTAATTTATTTAAACGTTTACAAATAGAAATCTGCAACAAAGTGATTTTATATGCCGACCATAAGTTTATTTTTTTAGCACATTTTCCATCTCATGTTGGAAGGCGTTATTATGACCACTTTCTCTGTCCGTCCGAGGCCTTATAACTTTCAAGATATTTAGTTCGTTCTTTTTGCATTCGGTGGCAGTATGAGGTCTTATGGACCAAATGCCTCTCTTACTAATTTGCGCAATTCGTTGATAACGCTATCCATGTTCCTCACTACAATGATGTCAAACTGACATGATTGAATTGAAGTATTAAAACACGATAGGTACAATCTCCTTGTGCCGTTATTGTCACGTTTGTTAGTAAGTTTGGCAAGCATGTAGGTGCTGTATGTCCATAAGCACCACACTGCATCTGGAGGTACTAACGCGCTATTATTAATAAAGACAAAACACAAATATACCGCATATTGTCAGATGTGCGCATGCGCAAATTGGGTTTCTTACGTTACTTGACCTTTCGGGAAGTACTGATCAATGCATGGAAATATCGCTTTTCAAATTTTAATATAAAATTAACTGATGCTTTTAATAAAAACAAGCACATCGCATATTAAAAAATCAGGTTACGCATGCGCAGAGTGCTTCCTATATAAATATCATGGGTCCGAAAACGCTTCGTTACCGATCTACAGGGTGTTAAAATTTCAAGATTTTTAAGTTTTTTCAATTTTCCGTAGTAGGTACGGTACATACGTAAAGCATAATTTTTAAAATGGTCCAATAGGCTCGTTTTATTTGGATAATATTTTGTTTTTATTCGTTTTGACAATTGGCATTGAAAATTGTATCGCGTGTTTGCATATGTTTATCAATTTAAAGTTTAAATTTTAAAGTGAACGCTCTAAAATTATAACACCCTGTAGATCAATAACGAAGCGTTTTCGGACCTATGCTTATATGAACTTTTAGTAATAAAATAAGCCAAAGAATTAGCCCGTTCCGTATTTACATCATATTTAGGAATACCCTGTATAAACAAGGAATATTCGTGTAGGGATTGTATCGATCCGGATGTCCAGGCGGTAGAGAAAAGTAATTCCGGAAAATCTCGGACCGATAATCGAGTCAGGCGTAGATCTAAGGACGGTCGAGTCTCGGTCACGCAGGTTCCGGTACCGGTATAGGGTCGTTTTTACCACCTGTACGTTAGTAAGGGAGGTTTTGCATTGCGGTAAATGACCTCCCCCCCCCCTTTTTTACGGAAATACACGTTTTAAGGCGCCAGAAATCCGAATCAAACAAAATCTGGAGTATGTCGGTCTGTCAGCACGCCGGTACTCTCATTTACGGCTAAACGGCTGAACCGATTGACACTAAAGTTGGTACAGATATTCTTAGATATAAAAGAAAGACCTAAAAAGCCTTTGGGAAGAACGCGTATACGCAGAGGTGCGGGTGTTAACGTGCTATTTTTTAACGCATTTCACAACGAAGTTGGGTGGGCTATTGTAGCAACTTTCTCCGTCTGTCCGAGGTCTTAAGTAACTATACTTCTACAGTTTTAAATTTTCAATATATTTATTGACAAAAAGATTGACAAAAAGTACTAAACTGTAACGTAAATTAAAAATAAATAGTTTTAAAATGAATTTATTTATAACTGTTAAAATATTATTTGTCACTCACATGCCGGCCCGTGTGGCGCGGTTCAGTTGAAGCTGGACTGTGGTGCTAAGGGTCCCTGGTTCGAATCCGGGTTCGGGCATGGATATTTGTAAATGTATAGTGGGTTGGGTTGGTAGAGCAACCTTGGCTGAAACCCCGCCCACTCAAAATAAAGGCAAATAAAAAAAATAAATAAATAAATAAACATGTACACAATTTATAACAGCACGAACTATTTATTACCTCGGCATTGAAATTAGAACTGTCCTGAAACGCAATTCGATTTGCTTATATAGCAAACGCCCCTCTTTCTAGAAATTTCTCGAACGCTTCCGCGTCCGAGACCAAATAGTTTCCAAACAAACCAGAAAATCACATTCTTATTTTACAATCTGCTAGTGGCGTATCGGAAAAAGTTTCAGAATAGAAAATGGAATATGTCTCCCTGAAAAATCAGCACACTGTAGATTTTCACTACATGGCCAATGATGTAAACTCTTCAGCGTAACTTATATGAACAACAACAAATACCTATCTCAAAAACTGCAGGAGATATAAAGAAAAAACTTAAAAAATATTGAAACGAAGTTTGCGCACCTATATTTATATACAGTTTTAGTCATAAAATAAGCCAAATAATAGCCGTAATTAAATTACGCACACTGTACCTACTATCATTTTTCGTCTCTCATTGCGAACGTTACCAGAACTGATCATCCTGTATTAGGGATCGCGATTCAACAATGATTTTTCCCAATTTTTTAATTTTACTTGCCACATACGGTGTTTTGTTCTGACCGTAGCATCGTACCAAAAGTACAGAAAGAATAGTATCGTTATAAGGTTACTATCGAATAACTCCTACAAAAGCATCTTGGTCTCGTCGACTACGCAAAAGAAATTCTTATATGAATAGTCGAAATGCGAATACCCCGAAAAACGCAAGTCGACGCGCGAAAAAAACTCAATTATAAGCAAAAGAAAGCGAAAGCCTTCGGTACATTTTCTAACCTTTATTATAAGAATACATTTTTCTCTATATAATGAAATTTTTTATTTAAAAAAATATTCTTTTTGAGCAACTTTATCCAGTTACAAGTAATAATTGCGGTGTTATTACTTCAATGCTATATTTACCTACTAAGTAAAGTACGTAGGTACCTTTGTATGGTTACTGATGTGCAATATTACTTTTTTTGTGTACAAAATTGTATTTGCCCTCATTTTTGATCGGCTATGTTACAGATATACCAAATTTAGTAGGTAAACTGAGCGCAGAGTGAAAATTTTTTATTAAGATAGCAGGGTAAGTATATGCCTCCAGTACTTTATAATTAGGAGACTGTCTATTTAAAACGCGTACTTTTTGTTGCAGATTCAACAAGTTTTCATTGATAATATCATAATAGGCACATTGTGCACATGAAAACTGTGCAAGTTTACCTATAGACTCACCCTCAACTGCAGTTGGTAATGTACTAGAAACGTGGTGATGGAAGTGGTGTTGACGATCATTGCTGGTATGGAATTCAGAATCGACATCCGAATCTGATTGAGCATCTCCTTCATCGGCGCTTGTATTTACAAATGCACCAGGAGTGGAGATCACCTACCGAAGGAAAATGAGCTTAAGAATAAAAATGCGGAATAAAAGGAAATTGAATGTAGCATGTTTGAAGATGAGTTTCAGTAACTAGGTAGCAATGAATGGAAATTAGATTAGGGGAATTGAACAGTAGTCCCTACATCACAAATGTACGCAGTTGTTCAGCTCAACACCCTCCACGCCACGTGTTGCGCCGTAATTTCTACTAACGTCAAAACATTGCGTATCGATCCAAACTAACATGGAGGAGTAATTTACAATATATTTTTCGCGCTACTGGCAAAAGGAAGCCGAATACACGGACATTAGTAAAAACAGAGCTTGGTAACGGCATACCAAACGCTTTGGTCGGCATGTTGAGACGTTTGAACCACTGACATTGTTTGTATACACTTCCATATGGAAGAAGATGTCACTTACCTTTTGGATAATGTAGCATCGTGGATTAAATGCGGTACAAATATAAGTTCCGTTCGCGTCGAGACATGCCGCCAGCGAGTCAAGCTGAGGGACAGCTTTTCCACGGCCTCTCCAAAGAGGCATCTGTGTTTTCGGACCGGTAACCGACACTCACCATGCCGACCTGTTGAGTCCGGGCTCGGCCAGCTGATTAGTGAACGGCGCCGACGCCTTTGCCTACGCATCGTAGGCGTCTATATTATTATCATTATTATTAATTAGCGGCATTTACATTCATTCGTTTTCTGCTACACTCCAATATGGTCCAATTTTTTTTGTTTTCATTATAATAGTATTTCTATCTCTGCTATTGTCATTTCAGTACGGACAGAGCAAATAGTGTAATGTACGCATCCTCCCCCGCAAAGAGTTCATTGCGTAAAATAATTGCTTATGTAATTTATTGCTACGAAAACTCTACACCAAAGATTAAGTTTCATAACAACAAAAGTAGGTCGTAAACGAGATATATTTAATGGGGTAGTTCTAGTTTGGAACCAAATTTCACTGACAATTGGGGCAATAATCTCCACGGCGTCAAGAAAAGTGTGTCAAATCTGCACACAAAACAATAGACCTCTGTTACATCAATACTTCCATAAACCCCATCAAATTCAAGTTTTGTCGATAGATTGCCTAACCGCTATTCTATAAACAATAAATTACAGTATGCTACCAGCTATCTGCCATTTTTTATATCGCATATTGATTGTATGCGTTACTATATGAATGTTTTTTTAGAAAATGTACATTTTTGAGTCACTATCTACCAATTTTGGTATGGACATTTATTGAAAACCCGCAGATTATTTTTATATACTATAACGTTTTTCACTTTATTAGTATCAGCTATTGAGCTATGGTCGCTACTAATAATGAACAAATGTTTAGATATAATTTACGTACTAATAATTTATGTTCGAACCTACACTCGTTCCTTGTTCCTACCATTGTTTAAATACTTTTAAACAATAGCTCCTACGCACGCTACCTCCTCTCATCCTCAGTACGAAGCTAACCCCCCCCCCCATGCCGTCCTTTTATGTTTAAGAATGTGTACCAAATTTGGTTCTAAACGGAAATGAGAGTTTGACATACTTGCGCATGCGCTTACCAAATTTGGTTTAAATCGGTTCAGCGGTTGACCCGGAAATGAGAGTACAGACTACAGACAGACCGATCGATAAAAATTAGAGGGTTTTCAAATAAATTATATTATGTGGAATTGTAAAAGCCCGCAAATAGTTGGTGGAATTGTAACGAAGCACCCGTTTTCCGCCTTGAAGTTTACCAGCTTTAATGGTCACCCGGTATATATTGTCTTCTCCTTTCGAAGATGATGGGGACATTAATATTTTATGATTTCAACTCCGTTAATTAGTTATTAATTGATTTTAGTTTCCCGATGTTAATTCAAAACCAAGCATTAAAAGCAAGCATGGTCGCTCTAGCGTGCAGTTTCCATAAATAGCAAAGACCCCTTTTGGTTGGCACAAAATTCCAAGTAACAATTCCCTATTCTGGGAAGTTTACTCGTATATAAGGTACCAACACGTTTAATTTAAATGGGATCGTTTGGAATTGTATGTATTGAAAAGCTTATCTTTTTTGCCTTTTTGGTGCTTTAACCGAACTTTCGTTATCAAATTGATCACATTGTACCGTTAAATTTAAAGGTAACCATTTGCTATTTTTCTTCCGCTGATTATAATATAAGGGGAGTTGTGTTCTGCTTTCTTGAATTTTTCCGTTTCTCGGTACCAGTAATTAATTATTGCTTCCGTTCCGCTTAAAAAATTGGTTACCGTGTGCCGTAATTCTGTTTTTAGATCATTCGCCAAATAGATTTTATTCGCATTTTGAGTTATATAAGTGCCCCTACTCACGAGACGTTTTTAAAGAGCTGCAGAGTGGCGCCGCTGGTAGCGAACACATTACATTAGATTACCAGCTTCCATTCTATGTTTGTTTGTTCTGATGTGATCAAACCGTCATTTATTTACAGTATATCGAAAATTATGGTAATTACACATCGTAACACCAAAATGTACACATGATATATAACTTATATATGTATAGCACGGACACCTCAGGAAAAGGCCTATCTAAGGTCAAAAAAGTCACCGAAATTAGGTAATATAGGCGCAAAATTATGTCCTACTGACAAGGTAAATCCGTTTAATACTGTTTGTCTATTTGCCAAAAGATATTATGCAAGCTATTAACCTTGGGTTAAAGTACCTTTCTATCGTAACTATCATTTGGAGCATCTCTTTAACTTCTTGTACACCCTGTATATAATAAAAGAGACAAAAAAATTGGCAACGTCGCTGGAAAACTGTCCACAATATACATAACCTTAAAATGTCTGTACCGCAAAGCGCAAACTTTCTCTAAGGGCGAGCTCTGTGCCCATTGGCTATTAATTGTAATTATAACAAGTTTCCAAGAATTTTAATTATCACATAAAAATGTAATTATCCTTAGCATTAAGCAAAATGTATCATCAGTGGCATCTAGGTAACCTAGTCAATAAGGTGCTTTAAGCTAAATCTTATCTTATCAGTTCTAAATATTGCTCCAAAATCGGTTAATGCAAATAAAACTGTTCAAAAGTTGCAAGTTTCATCAATTTCTCTCATTACGCAACGCTATGGATATAAAAACGTTTATATTCCTCGACTGTGAAACGACAGGACTGCCCTTTCAAGAGAGCAACAAAACTCGCATCACCGAGTTGTGTTTTGTCGCAGTTCAGAGCGACCATATCAGTTTGGGTGTGTTTCCGAGAATTCAAAATAAGTTGAACTTTTGCTTCAATCCAAGGAAATTCATAAGTACCGAAGCGTCACGAATCACCGGTCTGACGAACGAGCTCTTGGAACACCAAACCGAGTTTGATGTGTCGTGTTTTAGCGTAATGCGGGAGTTTTTAAACGCCAATAGGAAACCGATCTGTTTGGTTGCACATAACGGCAACAAATTCGATTATCCTATTCTAAAAGCGGAAATATACAAGACTGGTAACGAAATGGCGAGCGATGTGTTGTGCATTGATTCATTGGTAGCGTTTCGTAATCTTCACGAGAATTCGATGAAAAGAACTGCATTGCCTGAACCTGTTAGTCAAGTACCTTGGGAGCTCAATGATGGATTTGACGATATTTTAGGCGATGTAGTTGACAATATTGATTTACAGACATCCTCACAGCCCAAACTAACGGTAGCAGAAATTCAGAAGATCAATGAAACAACGCCAGTCAAAAACGTAGGTGGTTTTAAGTTTAGAGCAGTAAAACGGAAAAAAATCTTTACAGAAAAGTAAGTTTGCCTAAGAAATGTATTGTAATTGTAACTAATTCTTTTCAGGTTGAGTTTTTCATTGGGCAATCTGTATCAACGCCTGACTTCTAAAGCACCGGTTGATGCCCATCGAGCAGAATGTGATGTAAATATGTTGATAGAATGTGCTGCAACAGTCGGGCAGCCATTCGTGGATTGGTGTAATGAGAACGCCCAGCAGTTCTGTGATATTCCAATGATGGTACCGGGAAAACCTATTGGGAGCTAACATGTACTTATTTTTTAGTCTTATACTTTTACTATATTTTGTAATACTGTTATTTAACATTTTTTATATTGTGACCTTTTATATTTTTTATTATAGTTTGTTAATGTCGTGAAATAATTGTATGTAAATAGTTAAGGAATGAAATACAGTAGGTATTTTTTTAAAAAAGGTAACTTTTTTTTGTTACCTACGTTACGTTAATTGGAAACTGCGTTTAATTAGAAGCAATGACAGTGGAGCGTGACTATACAAAACTTGAGGAATCAGTCTCTGGTTTTATGCGCCATGATGGCGCCTCAATTTTCATTGCGTTTTGAATTTAAAGAGAACAATGGCACAGGCCGCAGCCTCATGAGGTCTTGGATTTGACCCTTTCTTATTACTGACGAGGGTGAGCTAGATTCTCGATTGTATTAGAACCTGTTCAAATGTGACATGATGTTGAGAATTTTGCAGTAATGCCTTCAAAGTAGCGTGATTTGTAAGAATTAAGGAGAAAGATGATGATTCATACTCGGATGCATAGTATATCAATTGCACCTACTAGTGCGCCAGTTGGCTCCTCCTTTATTTTTTGTATTTTTGGGGATGGTGGAATGGGTAACGCACACCTCCGCCTGACTACAGCGTAGGTAGTGTGGGGCCTGCATCCACTAAACCACTTACCCCCTTCTCGGGTATTGCCAGTGGCATTCCCCGCGAGTGATCTCTTAATAAATTCGTATGCCTGTCTGTTTACCACTTCCGCTCTTGCCTCCCTTTCCCGTGTGCCTATTATTTGGACTATCAATTGTTCTATAATTCGCCACTTCTCCTCCGTTTCCTCTAAAATTTCTCCTATCTTAATGGCCGCCCGCCATCTTTCGGCTTCTCACCTGGAACATTATAATAACGCCATGTCCAGCGTCGTCGGTCGTCATCCGCGTAAGCCACAAGGTCCACCTTTGTCCGGGACTCCCATAGTCTTAACATCCCGTCGTACGCAATATTCCGTGGATATCGGAGTGGCCCTAACACTGACCCTTGTGGCACTCCTCCGTGGGACACAAAAAGGTAACTTCCCAGACGGTAATTTTCCTACGTTCTTCCTGTCATTGAGATAACAATACACAACTCTCCTCAAGTAGCCAGGTATATCCTTTACTTTCCAGTTCTTCCATGATGACCTTCGTCGGGATCGAGTTGAAAGCATTTTGTACGTCTAGGGAGGCAATAATTGTCACCTCCCTAGTGTGCCGGGAGCGTCTTAGGGCTTTTTGCGCTATGTCTTTAATTTTACTTAGTGCCTCTTCCTTTCCTGAAACCATATTGCCACTCGGATAGAATAGAGTATTTCTCTATTCTCTCGACCAGAACTCTTTCTAGCAGTTTTCCCAGATGGCTTATTAGGGATATGGGCCTCATTTTGACCCCGTGTTTTAGACACAAATTCTGATGGGAGCCCGTTTGGCCCGGGTGCCTTCTTCCTTGGCATCTTCCTAGCAGCTTCTTTTATCTAGTCTGTGCTCACTTTTTTAGGTTCTGCCTTTCTGTCCCCTTGTTTGATAGTATGGTCTTTTACTTGCATCGGAAAAAGTTTGTCAATCTTTTCCATGATTTCCTGGTCGGTGCCCACTAGCCTGCCTCTTTTCCCTAAGTTGGCTCCTCCTACAAGCTCTAAATTGGTCATTAGCGCATAGTTCGCTCTTACCTTCTTTTGTGCTGGTACCATATAGTGCAGTACCCTTGTTTTCTCTCGGGGGAAAGCGAACAGAAAATGAAACTACACAACCATACAAAACTTAATCTTGATGCTGGGAATAAGACGCCAAACCAAGGTAAACAGAAAGGAGGGTAATGGGATGAGAGATGGGGATAGAAAAGAATTAAGGCGTGAAGGAAACATTCGTGAAAGAAGAGTGTAGAAGGTTTGAGTGAGATGCTCTCAAGGTTTGTAGCGATGACGATGTGAGAGTAAAAGAATAAAGTGTGAACAAAAAGAGTTTGAAACGAGCGCGTCTCAAGGGAATAAAAAAATTGATGTAGAAGGCGTGACGAAAGGAATATGCGAATGAACCTGAGGAATGGCACCATCTACCATCAGGCGGTTTCCCAGGTGACGGATATAGGAGATCGGCCTAAAACGTAAGTGACGGAATAAGGATGCTTTTGTCGCTTATGAAACAGTGACTGTGAGTGTGACATGGTAGCAACCAAAGACAGCATCGCGGACCAGCTCCCCCTCCCGGCTGTCGTGTGGTGGCCAAGGTCTTTTACGAGGTTAAATTCCGCCTACTGTGCTCACGTTCGTACAAACTATGTCGATATACCATGCACTAACCTGGCGAGCTCAGGATGTCGCGGGGGCCTTAGCTTAGCCGCCTGGACCAAGAAGAGACAACCTCAGCCAATACCTAAATCCCAAGGACCAGAGGGCCGGACCGAGCGGATGTGTGACTGGATAGAAGATTTAGCATCAACTGGAAACTTTGTACAGAGAACCTAAAGGCCAATCTCGTGAACTGTCTCGCAAGACTCAATAACTCGGCGGAACTGGAGGTCATGGAATCAAAAACCTTCGCATGGCCATCAAAGGTGAGAACCATAAATAAAGTGCCCTGGTTGGCAACAAAGGAAGCTTTTTTAATAAAGCAAAAAACACGGGGAATGGGGGTTCATATATCCAACCACACTCATTACTCAACGAATACAATGGGACTAGGGAATGCAATACCGGGATCCTGCAGCCTTTTTGCGGGATTAGTCCCATACGTAAATATGGAGCGGGATCTCGCGGGATTGCAGAATTAATCGATCAAGCTTACCGCACCATACATTAGCAACTCTGCGAATTTGAATACTTCGCACATTTTTGTTGTTGCAGTTCATGCAATAATTACGCACAAACCTCTTGTATCTGTTATTAACTTTGTTAAACAGCGAGTGAGTGCGCGCAAATCGGAGTTATTTTGTTGCTGTTTTAATACGCTGCAGGAACTGTTATTCTTGTACACAATACGTCGGACTCGTCGATTGTTTATAAAAGACTTTAGTAGTAAAGTGGCTGTATGGAAATATTGCAGCGAATATTCTAGAAATCCAGATAGACATGGAGGAGCCATAAAAGATTACTCGCCGGCGACAAGAAACGACGGCGGATGTGTGTTGTATATTAATAGAAATTAGTAGCGGGTTGTGTGTGTGTTACTATGGTTTTTCATGTTCAATAAGATATAAAATAAAATCTGTCATATAAGGTGTATGTTTTCGTGTTCTATACAATTCGAAGAATATATATTAAATTAGCGACGAAGATGGATGAAACAATGCTCGCAAAAATTTTTTCGGATCTTGCTAACACTATAGCAGAGAGTCAAGCAAATCTACTGAAAAATTTTGGAAAAATTAACTCATCGAATACAGTCACAACGGACCAAATTGTACCACCATTTCAAGAATTTGATTCAAAAAAGGAGAAATTTCGAAACTACGTTGAACGTTTTGAAAATTATGTAGCTGTCCGGAATGTAACTGCGGATGAAAAGAAAGCTCAAATATTATCAGCATCTGTTGGTTCAGTACATTATAATAATTTATCGGCATTACTTGGACCTGATAAACCAATCAAAACTATGAACTACGCAGACCTTGTAACATCGTTCACCAAAATGTTGAGCCCGAAAAGAAATGATGTAGTTGAACAACACTATTTTCTTTCTACGGTACAAAACTATAAACAAAACATTGCTGAATTTGTTGCAACACTACAGAGTCAACTTTCGGAATGTCAGTTTTATGTGGAATGCGAGTGCAAGAAAAAGATTTCTGTTGCTGAAATTTTCCTACGGGCCCAATTTATAAGAGGAATAAAGGATCAATGGATAAGAGAACAACTTTTGCAAGCTAATTTATCTAATTTTAATGATATTACAGGAAAAGCAATTGCCTTGGAATCCTCGAAAATTCAAAGCCGGGAATTATCTGTTTCAAATAATTCAACACCAGTTCCAGGATGTTCGACTGACATAAACAAAACGTCACATTTTCACAAAAACCGATCAAGGAGCAATTACAAAAAACCACGATCAAATACACGTTTTGAAAGATCGCCTACTCCTGCCAATTCAACAATAAAAACAAATAGGAGTCATCAAAGTAGGTACCATTCCCGTTTGCCACGTTCTATTAACTATCATGCACTTGGAATTTCAAATTTATGTTTTTCATGTGGAAAATCAAATCATCGATCAAACTCGTGCAGAATAGATAGGAACTCATTACGCTGTGAATCTTGTGGAAAAATTGGACACGTAGATCGTGTTTGTATCCTTACATTATTAAAGTCAAAAAGTGACAACCACCAGATTAGTGCGGATATATGTCACAATACTCAACAAACACAAGATTATATTTCAAATTCACAAATTTTAACACTGCCACACAATTACGGAGTGAATATGATTCAAACTGTCACAACAATAGATTTATATACATGTAAAACCAACTCTGATAAATATGTCATATCTGTTCTTGTTAATAATAACGAGATAAATATGGAGGTAGATTCTGGAGCAAAATTTTCGATTTTACCTGAGGACAAATTCAAAGCTCTAAATCTGAATACCACTCTTCAACCTTCAAACATAAGTTTTCGTACTTATTCGAAAAATCTCATACCTTGTAAAGGGAAAATTGAAGTATCAGTAAAATATAAAGACAAAACGATGCCACTTGCCGAGTTATACATAGTTCCATCTGGTCATGATACAATTTTGGGACGTGACTGGATCAGAGGGTTAAAACTTGAACTTAAACAAATTGACACAGACATGGAAAGCAAACAACAAACTAGTTTTAGCTCTGTTAACAATGTACTTCAAATTGATGACATTTTTCAAAAATTTTCCAACATTTTTGAGGAACAAATTGGATGTATTCCAAACATAAAAGTCTCACTTGTCTTACGTGAAGACGCCAAGCCAATTTTCACTAAAGATCGTGACGTGCCATATGCACTCAGAAGTCGAGTCGAAAAGGAACTTAATAATTTAGAAAATGCTGGAATTATCACTCCCGTAACGACTAGTGATTGGGGTTCACCACTTGTTGTTATTCCAAAACCTGACGGTACAGTTCGACTTTGTGTCGATTACAAATGCGGAGTAAATGATCGACTGGTATCATCTAACTTTCCAATTCGCAGGATTGACGACGTGCTCTGTAGTCTCCGAAATTCGAAATACTACTGCAAACTAGATTTATTCAAAGCATACCTTCATATAAGCGTCGATGAAAAAAGTAGTGAGATACAGACTATTGCCACACACAAAGGAACTTATAGGATGAATCAACTTAGCTTCGGTATAAAAACTGCTCCAAGTTTATTCAACAAAATCATGTCACAAATAATTCAAGATTTACCAAAAACAGAAGCTTATTTTGACGATATAATTTGTCATGGAGTTACATACGAGGAATGTTTAGAAAACCTAAAAGCCTGTTTTAAACGACTGACCGAGTACGACCTTTATTTGAATCGAAAGAAGTGCGAATTTTTTGTCACACGCATCGAATACTTGGGTCACATTATTCAGTTTAATAAGATTATGAAGTCTCCGACGAAAATTACTGCTGTCTCCGAAATGCCTCGACCAAAAAACGTTGATGATGTCCGTCGTTTCTTGGGTCTCATTACATATTACTCAAGATTTATTCCCCATTTTTCTACAATATCATATCCACTAAGGAAACTCTTACAGAAAGGTAACCGGTTCTATTGGGATGCCTCGTGCGAATCAGCGTTTTTGCGATTGAAGAACGAAATTTGTAGTGAAAGGGTATTGGTGCCCTACGACCCAACACTTCCCTTGGTAATGACGTCGGATGCGAGTCCTGTAGGTGTTGCCGCAGTATTGAGTCACATTGTTCAGGGTGTTGAGAAACCGATAGCATACGCTTCGAGATCTCTCACATCATCTGAACAAAACTACAGCCAACTGGACCGCGAAGCTTTGGGAATTGTCTTCGGTGTAAGCCACTATTTCAACTACCTATTTGGTCGCAGTTTCGTACTTGTAACGGATAATGAACCATTAACAAGAATTTTTGGTCATAACCGTGCATTGCCAAAAATGACGTCAGCACGATTGTTGCGATATGCCTCGTTCCTATCCGGATTTGAATACTCAGTTAAGTTCAAGTCAGGAAAAGAAAATACAAACGTCGATTGCCTCTCACGAGCTCCAAACGAAAAATATTCTGTTACTACTGATGTCGCCATCAACGAAGAAGTAAACCAGCTGTATACTATATCACTGTTACAAATTTCCTCTATGAATATCACTGCCTCTACTATCGCTGAAGAAACAGCCAACGATCCAGAATTACAAGTAATTATTTCCAGATTCAAGAATACATTAGAACAATTACCATACACTCTCCAAGATGGTATTCTTTTCCGACTCGACCGAGTCGTTATTCCAACTACTCTTCGAACTTCAATCCTGGCGGAATTACATGCTACACATATAGGAATTTCAAAAATGAAACAGCTCGCAAGACAATATGTCTACTGGGAAAATATAAATCGAGACATCGAACACCTAGTGAAGAGTTGTGAATCATGCGCCAAGGTAAGAAAAAATCCGCCACACGTTCAGGTACATCCATGGGACGAACCTAATGAAAATTGGGAAAGAGTCCATATGGATTATGCAGGACCGTACGAAGGTCATCATTTTCTAATTTGCGTAGACGCAAAGTCAAAATGGATTGAAATACGGAAAATCAATAACGCGCCGTCTTCAAGTGTAACCATCAACTTGCTAAATGATATTTTCGCATTTCATGGTTTTCCTAAATGTCTCGTTAGTGATAATGCCACGATATTTACTAGTGAGGAATTCAAATCATATTGTACCAACCGTGGAATCTTCCAGAAGTTGATAGCTCCTAGGCCATCCAGCTACCAACGGATTAGCGGAGCGCAACGTACAGACGTTCAAACAGCGCCTAGCTTCCATCATGAATGAAGGTGGAAATATGACAGAGAAAGTACAGCGAATCGTTTTCCGTTATCGTGCAACGCCACTAAGTTCAGGAAAATCTCCAGCTGAGTTATATCTAAATCGGAAGATTAGAATCGAACTCGACGCCATTTTTCCAAACAAGTCACAGAAGTCGAGAACTGTTCTATACCCTCAATTCGAAATTTGTTTGTGGGGGAGAGAGTCCAGTCCCGTGGTTATACGCAAAACCGCGAGATTTGGCAGTTTGGAGTTATTATCCAGAAATTAGGATCGTGTCATTATATGGTCAAATTGGATTGTGGTCGAGTGCTGAAGAGACATATAAATCAACTAATCTCCACAAGAGCTTCCCAAACAAAATACAGTTCAAGAGACCAATCACACCACAAGAATTATAGTCAACATCGATCTGTAATTTTCGACATTCCAAGACAAAAGCAATGTTTACAATCTCCATCAGATTGTATGCCACCACCAATTCCAAGACTTTCGAATATAAACCCAAATGGACAACAAGGTAATACTCAGTCCCAATTGTCATCAGACACCATGGAAACTCTTCGCCGTTCTGGTAGAGAACGCAGAAGGCCAAATAAATATAATGAATACGTCTGCCCGTGAGTGTCGTTTTTTTTGGTTGTTAGGAATTAACAGAAGTTGTTCCGTAAAATGAACCGAAATTAGTGGGGGAGACTGTTGTATATTAATAGAAATTAGTAGTGGGTTGTGTGTGTGTTACTATGGTTTTTCATGTTCAATAAGATATAAAATAAAATCTGTCATATATAAAAGGTGTATGTTTTCGTGTTCTATACAATTCGAAGAATATATATTAATGTGATGCATTCTTTGCGCGAAATGGAATGTGTTTTCTTGAGAATATTCCGTTAACTGCACAAAATTGCTTATTTCCGCATGTTTTTAAAATTTTGCGAGATCCCGCGGGATTACTATCTAACGATCTAAATTTTGCTGCGGGATTGCATTCCCTAAATGGGGCAATAAAAAAAGCAAAACGTGACTCATATAGAGAAGGTAGGTACTACCTACTGAAGGCAAGTATATTGCCCTGCGATACATAACTATGGCGTGGGACTGTGGGAGGGACGTCAAAGTTTTATTCAACCCAAATTGGGGATCTTGCTCTGGAGAGTTAGGCGATGTGCACGCGATTTACACGTAGGTATTTTGAATTCGCTCGATGCTTGTGGACGCGATGTGTTGTCGCCTAGTATCTCGCCGACGCGCGAAACGGTTCGGGGCGAATATTCGCTCCTTCTGGACAAGATGTAAAGATCTGAAGATGAAGAAATTAAAAAATATTCAAGAGGCGAGTCGCCCGATCTTCTAGATCTACCTTGGGATCGAATCAACAACCAAGGATGCTTGCTCCTAAGAAGTAGTAGGTATCAAGGTGCCAAAATCGTTATGTACTCTACCACTTCCTTAGGAACACGTCTAAACGCATTAGTTCAATGTACATTTCTTTTTAATATAGTTTTATTTCGTCAGTGGCGGAGCATATAAATTTCAGGGAATTGTGCGTGTACCTACCGTTGTAATCACATGAAATGAGATTTTGCTGGTTGCTGATGCTTACCTGCATTCATTGAATAACACTCGGAATTAAAATTCTTTGACGTTCTATTGGGAAGTCGTTCTTTAAAATATCACAATATTTATTATTACCTACTAAATGTAACTTAATGACTAAAAGGAACATGGAATTCAGCACATGAATGGATGCATTTTCCTTAATTACCCAATATAAATATTTGTGCGAAGTTAAAATCTCCGTTATGTGTAGGTACCTACACGTACCTAACGGTAGATCTACACAAGCAATTACAGCTACAATCGATCGTCAGTAATTATATACTTTGTAAACATTCAAAACCAATATCTTTATGAAACACTATCGGCAGTATTATCTTCAACGTTCTCTAATGCAGCGTTCGATTTTCTTCTCAATCTATACTCTGTAGGCGTTAACATTCCTCTAAGTATAGTCTCGAACGAAATGCGAACCCCTTTTCCGCTCATTTTCCGGTACATTTCCCAACATTGTTTCTCTTTGGGCGTCTCAAATGCTGGTTCATTGCTGGACGGAGGACTCTCGTTCACTTCCAACTTTACATCGTTTGATCCATTTAGAGATCCATTTTGGGTTGTACTGCTAGGGTTTTTATTTTCACATTGCAACTCGGTGGACTCTTCCAGTTCTGTAGAGCTGAAAACAGAAAAAAAATCAGACCGAAGTAGGTATTACAACTGCAGCACCCACAAAAGCTCAACTGCAATATATAGTAGGCAAACTTAATTTTAATAACCGCAAGAATGCATCGTATGTCAGAAATGTTCTAAAGTTACCCGTTTCGTGCACGGTTCACGCGAGTTTTCCCCGCAGCGACTTCTTGTATAATCCGATACTTTACGAAAACATCATGGAAAAGGCATTTCGCAAAATACAATAATAAAGATACCAATCGGTTATTGATGAAGGGGTATATTAAATCGACCGTTTCGCTTTGCGTGATTGGAAGTTACCTATTGCTCAAGTTTATTTTGATGGGCTATTCGGACAAAATTCAACAAAACAAAGTGCACAATTGAAGCACGTAAGAGCGAAACCCCGAAAGTCGTCTAGGGGATGACATATCCTTCGCACGGGCGGAAACTCGATGACATAAGAACGAGAGGTGGTTTAATTTAGAAATAATCTGCAGCTTAGGGATGTTATTGATTGAAAGAAGAGTATAAAATACATATTTGTCGATTTGTTTTACCATTTCATGATTCAGCTTATTACTTTGAAACATGAAAGTAATCGCGAATGCAATTTTATGCATTATCTCGTTGTTTTCATTATAGGTACCAAACCAGAACTCCTGCTGCCAATAAAATAGAAAATCAATGCAATACAATTTATTTTCGTTATCGAGACGAATATATTAATGGCAAGGCCGCAAGGGATGTCTCGACGTTTCTCTCTTTTTAAGTAGGTATCTACTATACATAGACTTGCTATAAAGGTACGCACCTGTACAAAGAGTTACTTTTGGTCCTGAGCAATCGACGTTTCGGTTCTCGGCCATCATCCGTGCCGGTTTCTTGTGTTGTTCGCTTCTCTAGGTTTGCACACTTATCGGAATTGGAACTGTTCAACATTAGGGCGGTAACGACGGATCCACGTCGTGCGGGAAAACTTGCTGAAAAGCTTCGAACGGCGTATATACTCGACTGTTGAAAAGATACTGAAACAATATCATATTTTCTTATAGTTCGCGACATGCGTGACCTGAAGTAACACAGCAATAAATATTTACTATAGGGCATGGCAACAAATAAATTTAAATTTTTTCAAATCGAAAATCGATCCGAGTGTCAATTTTGCTCCCCTAGCTATTTATTCCTCGAAAAATTATAGTACTCATTTCGTGAAACGAGCACTAATTGCCTAACTTTTAACTACGTGTTTTTTGCACAGCTATTTTCTTGTTAAGATTAATCGAATGTAACGGACTTTTCAAAAGCGCGTCAGTCAAAAGTTGAAAGTGGGTTAATGTGATTCATATAAGAAACTACAAAGAACATAAACGGTATCAGCCGATGCAATTTTCAAAATTCGCCAATTAAGTTAAAATTTTTATTAATCTTGTTATAGAAGGAGGAAAAAGAAAATGCAGGAAATAATTAAAATTATGATTACGTGGCATATGTCAATAATCGTTTCAGTTTAAAACATTCGCCCTGTCATTTAACACGCACAATCGCTTGTGCTGCATTAATATTTTATTATACTCCAAAAGAATATTATAGAAGTATTAGCGGCGGCATTATAAAAACAAACACACCTCCCTGGTTCCGCCAGGGAATGTGACAATTTCTAGACCGAAAGCATGCATTAATTTAACGATATTATGATGAATATTGATAATACACGACATTAATAAACCTACTATTAAAGAAATAGGTATGTGGAATCGTTTCTAAAATTGAAGCCAAAGTTTCCTTCTAAATATCCTTAAATTATGATTATAGCGTTTACCGGGCTCGGAAGGGTAAAACAAAACCTGAAACAAAACCACCAACAGACCATAATATAATTTTTTTAGTAAACCGTATGAATTTCGACAAGATAACTAAAAGAGAAAATAGGTCTACAAGTAAAAGTGATTGGCTTAATGGGCCTTCTTCATCATTATTTATTAGTAAGCATTTAATTTTATGAATCTCTAAACTTTACTAACTCACTCTCTCACGCAATTATGCGAAATAAAGTTTCTCACACATAAATTGTAAATGCTAACTCTTTAAAAGTCTCGTTTCGTCTGTCGAAAATCCCCGTTACAACTCCGTCTCACTACCTTTGTATCTCGAAAGTGCGCACTTTGTTACCGCTCTAATTCGGGACATACTTTTGTTCACGCTCGCTATGAAGCGGTATATGTGTGAATTTTCCTATTGAACAATTCCAATTTAAAAATAAAATTTTTGAAATTCTAAAGCCACTGCCCATTACGTGATAAAGGGTGAAGTTTTCTGTAATGTCAAAAAATTAATTTGTTCTGTTCGAATATATTAATCAATAATTATAAATACGCGTTCCTTATGCAAAACAATGAATAATCCGAGTGAAAACAGGACGGGGGAAAAAAGAGACATGTTATATTGCAAATCTACGCTACTCTTAAAATATGACAAATTATTCATTTCAAATTGGACAAAGAAGAGAAAAAAGATTATTATGTGAGTTAGTTATTTACAAATATATATATATTCGCAGGCGAAAGGGGTGTACAAATAATGATATTACTATAATCAAAAATATTACAAATAGGACACTGTAATATATAGAGCTGCAATATCAAGGAGTCGACGAAAAATAAAAATTACCTTTTGCACTACAACTTGCAACGGCCTTGTAGAGCTCAAGAAGGACGCATTCAGACTAATCTATAACAGACAACAACACCAACAAACAAACAGGGGTAGTGAATCGCGCGGCACATAAAATATTGCGTAAGCAATGTTAACGTCTGAGACTGAGGCAATCGGACCTTAAACCGTAATACTCAAAAGCAAAATTTTGCTACGACGTTGCATGGCGCTCTTGAAATGATAAGCTTGCGAGGACTTCTCCAATGCATTTTCCTTGCGCAATATTGAGAAAATCCAAAATTCTGCGGTTTCCTTTCAGGAATATCGACGTAAAAAGCAACAATCAAGAATGTAATAATGAAAAAGAGAGTAAGCCGGAAGTAAGAATCCGAAAAAATGGTTGTTCAAAGCCAAGGGTAATGCTTAATTTTTGGTACATACCGAAAACGGCCTTAGAACTTGTAAAATATGTCCGCAAAAGCGTCATCGAAGTGCAAAATAACAAAAGAAAAACTTCACTAAACTTCTACAGTCACAATAAATAAATAGGTAGACAAAAATTCTAGAGTAACAACTGTGGCGTATACGTTCTTACAAGTAATGGTTGAAGCTCGTTTTATACAATAAAGTGCGTGCGACGAAAATAATTAAAGAGCCACTCTGCACGACCTAGGACGGCAAAATAAAGAACTATTGTAATAATAAATCTACAATAGCGAAAATAAAGAACTAGGGTAATCAAAAATCTACTACAGAAATTAACTTACATCATAAACTATCGGATTGCAAAGAAAATGACGTCGAAACGTTGAGTGATGTCATTGAATAGCACAGTGTGGGATAAATAAAATGTTGTGTACAACGGAATACGGAACGGGATTTAAAGACATTAATTGGTGCATTTACCCCTCGATTTACTACCAACAGAACCTAGTTAACAAATTGGGGCAAAATTCATACCGACCCAGCGGAACATTGGCACGATTTCAAGCGTTATTTTCATGAGATTGAAGCAGGCTTGCTTGTGTTTGCAATACGTACGGACATTTTTTCCGCTAAAGTTTTGCAATCATCACGGAGTTAACCTTACCAGAACCAGGACCATATTTCAAATTGAACCTGTTTTTGTCCAAATATGTAAATTGTTATCAGAAGGGAATATTACCTACTTCAATAACTGTAAGATATTTTACATTTTTTGATTTACTTATATAAAATAGTGGTTGATTATGTTTAGGAATTTGCATCTTAATTTTGTTTGCAATAGTGAAGTAATTTTAATATTCCTAAAGGAATCGACCTATGAGAATAATTTGCAGGAAACACATTGTATTTCATTTATTGATAAGAATCAGATCTAAACAAAAGATTATGGTTATTTCGTTTCATTGAATGGAAATAAGCATTTAATTGCAATGATACCATTCTTTGCTTGGATTAAAATAGTAGGTATTTAGCGTTAACGTGTGTGTATATTTTTGAACAGAAGAAGGTACCAAGAATTTACTATGTATAATTAAATGAAGTTTGGGTAATTAATTTCTAGCATTGGTCACGAGATAGGTATTTCATTTTTTGTTTCCTGTTATGAGCCAAACGGGACAAATCAATATTTAAATCCAACAACTTGAACAGAAAAATGGAATTTGATCGCCTTTGTTTCAATTACTTAATATATTCAAGCAACTTAAACGGCATAGTAAGCAAAGCTTTATAGGGGAGTCCATGGGTGTCCGTGGGCACGGTAACTGCCGAACGCTTGGTCCGATTCGATTCAATCTTTGCACAGTTGACCTATATACCATAAGCCTATTGAAAATGGGTCAAATCCAATGACCTCGTAGGGTTACACAGAAGTGCTCCGTCGCTTTTTTAGATCCGCTTTAGGGGTTTATTAGAGTTCAATTCAAAACTTCCGCAAGGTAAGGGGTGTGAAAATAGTTCTTAGTACTTAAGCTAGCCGGGAGTAAAATAAAAAGTAATTGTCCCAGTAACATTTCTGCTAGTGCCATAAATGTTCAATTTTACTTTGTTCAAGTGAGGTCTTCGATCTCTGTAAATGTATATAACTAAGTCGTTACAATACAAACCACACGAGACATTAGCTAAGATAACAACTCATTCTACTTTATCGAAGATACAAACCACCCAAAGCTAGGATAAGAACCCATTTTACTTTAGCCAAGATCAGAACTACTCAAGATTACGTCATCTTGGGAACTTCCTGTAATGAAGTATGGAAATAAATAATAATAATCTTGTTTTTCGAATGCGTTTGGAAATCATTTCCCTAATTGTTTTGGTATTCTCGGCCAAAATCGATAAAGGTAAGTAGGTATAATTTTGGAACGGCTTTATTGCTTCTTCAATTTTACACCGAAAAGGTGTTTTGATCTATAGAGACAGTGAGGCCATACAGTGGTGTTATTTTCTATTGATACCTAATAGTTGAGACCTAGGTTGAGACTTCCTCTTAGCTGAATCATTTTGTGAGCGTTTGTGCAGTGCTATGGGTTCTTATACGGGAGAGATGTATATTATACACTGCATACATTGGAACCCAAAACCAGGTCTGTAAAAATTAACGCACCGAGAGATATGAATACTTGAGTCAAAAGTACCTATGTCGTTCTAAAGTAGGGGTTACTTTTTCGCTAAACTTGTATACCTACAAGTGCGTTTCCAATAGTTTCAAGCAACCGAAGGGAGCATGCCTCCATTAATCAATTAAAATATTTGTAATCGATATTCAGACGACTGACACTGGAATCTGGATCTTCCCACCCCTGGCGAAGATGCCAAAAACTATGACTAAAATTCAACTTACCAGTTTTCCTTAAATGGAAACTTTTATTAGAATCATCTTTTTCATTTTTCTCTAGCGACGGACCTCTAGAAACAGCAGGCGGGGTTGGTTTCGGTTTCACCTTCTCAGACTCGGGCTGTTCTTCCGTCTCGCTCTCCTCGGGACTGAGCAATGAAACCATGGTGACGACGTCGGGTCCCGTCGTCGTCACGCACCTTTGCAATTTTCTGCTGTTATACTTTTCTTCGTCTCGCTCATCGATCGATTCGCTTTTCGCTAGCTTTCCGCTTTTCTTCTTCGATGCCGATTTTAATCGCCTTTTTACCGGGACAAAATTCAGCTTGGGGGATGGCTTTAAGAGAGCAGGAGATGCGCGGATTTGTGGTGGTCTGGGATTTTCTTTGGTGAAGGGAGTGGAGTTGCTGGTGTTGAAAGCGGAATTGACGCGACTGCGATAGGCGTCACGTTTCGTTGTTGCTGTCATGGGTCGTATGATGACGTTTATCGGCTTGCGTTCGTCCGAAGGAGCGTTTGGTTCGCAGGAAGAACTTCTGGTTAATTTTGGCTTTGGGACCTCCGGCTTTGGACTATTTGATTCTTGAAGTTTCATAGACTCAATTAACGGGACAACTACCACATTCCTGTTTTTGATGTCTTCATTTTTTACAGGAGAATAGATAAAGTCGAGCTGAGCGTCGTCTACGCTGTGCGTTCGCCGCATACGCTTCTGAAAGATGCTCTTAGAGTTTTCGTTGGTTGAGATATGGCGTTGTAATGCGGTCTTTTGCTTCTTTGTGCCATCTGCTGTGCTGTGGTCGACAGAAATGGCACATTCTGAATCCGTCAAGTCGTTAGTAACTTCATCTTCTTGCCTTTCCTTAATGTTGTGCGTTAAAAAAATGTTCAAGTTTTGTTTTTCCTTTTCACGCTCCTTCCATGCTTGTCTAAGACGTTCGGCTAACTCCTGGTGAGATAGTAAAATGGAGTCTTTATTTATGGACGATTGCTTGATGATTTTAGACGTTAGTGGCCTTTTCATTTCTTTGCACTTCTTTGCAACTAAGCCTTCTTCATTATTGCGAATTGACTGTTGCAATACCTGCTGAGCACCCTCTTCGACCCACGCTTGCTTTGTGTGAAGAGCGCTATTGCGAGTTTTTAATAAATTTTTTGTACATACCGCAACGTACGGATCCAAATCGACGATCAGCTTCTCCTTAAAATCCGGAATGTCCTCCGATAGTTGTTTTTTCAGTGTCCTTCGAGACTGAGGAGTTTCGACGTGAAGTGAAAGTTGCCGGATAGGCGCCGATTTTCTCATTTTTCTATTTTTGCTATACTCACATTATACCTAAGCGCACTTTTACTTTAACATAATTTCTAAACTTTTAATAAATTATGGTGCCGTGTGAAACACGACTGTATAAAGTTTCTAAAGTTTGTGTACTCACTCTCTGTTGGCAAAACTTTAACTGAACCACAACAAAACGTGCTTTTCAACCCTTACTCGGATTTTACTCATTTATTATCGATCAGAACTTTCCCTGTCTGCTTTCAATTTTTATCGTTTCACCTGAATATTCCTTGCACAGAAAACCGAACGACAACATTTTTGAATTTGTTATAGACGACTGGTACCTCTGGTTACAAATTTGCAAATTTAACTGCCCTTTACATCGCGATGGCAATAGTTTCTACTTATCAATAATCAATTTACGACTGTAGATATTCTTTGAGGTACCGGTTTTCATTTACCTACATTTACGAACATGTAAATTACCTATCGCGTACCTAATTCACAACTCGTGCGAGGGTTGTCATGGCGTTCTAAAATTTTTCAAGTATGACTCACGTACCGCTTTTCAGTGGACTCATCCATTATTTAGGCGAACCTAATTCGACGCAACGACAGTTTTATTTCAATCAGTTTAATTTTATACCGAGGGGTAAACCGCGATGGGAAATCAGTGTACACGTTTGAGGAAATCTATGGGAAATCATAGGAATTCCGAAGGAACTCCTAGGAAAGCTAAGAATTCCAAGGAATTCCATGTGTATTCAGGAGGAATTCCAAGGAAATCACAGGAACTCCGAGGAAATCAAGGGAACTCTAAAGAAATCAAAGGAACTCGTGCTGCATTTTATTATTTAATTTGGTTTTTTTGGTAATTTTTGTATTTGTTTATGGTATTTTTCTCATTTAATAATGAGTTTTTCTCATTGCAAATAGGTCTATTAAAATATAAAATAGTGTTTCGTCTAAGGTCGTGTCTTTATCCGTCCGTCCGTCCGTCCGCTAACTTTGCGACGCTACTAGTTCTTTATCTTAAGAGCTATTGTTCTACTTTTTTCGCTATTTGGTTCGTTATGGTGTCGAGTCTTGTACCAAGGAAGGAATTTTTTCTGTACCGCTTACAAAAAAAGTTATTGTAAAAAAAACAAAAAAACCGTTTTTTACATGTTCCATAATTTTACACTTTTGCCGTTTATTAACGATCCTAGAGATCGTTTATAATTTTGCATTGCTATCTGTCGCCTGCCGGTTGGTCTCTCCGTCTGTTCCTTTGTCTGTCTGTCCATCTATCTGTCCGTGTGAACGATAACTTTGTTTAGAATGTTCGATCGCTTTTACATCTCCGTGAGTTATGAAGTAATTGCATGAAATTCAATATGGGCATAGATTTAGTCATATAATACGCAATGCCAAAAGTTGAATCGAATCGATTCAAAATTCACAGTGCCCTTTTCGCATCTCGACCATTTATAAACCGAATTGCAAACTTTTTTACTTATAAAAGTATTTGAATGAAATTTGATACATAGGCACTTGGAATAAAGGAAAATCAAACGCCAATTTCAAAATTTGGTTTTGCGCATGCGCAGTGCCAACTTTTTTATTTATGGAAGAATTTAAACGAAATTTGATACATATAGGCACAATAATCGCCGATTTATACATGAATTGCATACAACGTTTTTTCGTCGACTTCACTGGGGTAGGTAATTTTAAATTCAACTACAAGAAATTACAAACTAAATTATGAGCTCCGACGATTTTTCACTAAATTACAGCTATTGTCGTTGCTATAGTAATGTGTTGTTTTATGCTGTACCATCAGTCCTCGTAATCGCAGTGGAAGATTATGTTGCTTGCTCTGCTGCGGAGACGATTTTAACATTATATCCACTCAAATCAAAAGAAACTTATTGGAACGGTTTCGATCAGTTCGGCAATTGATCGAATAAAATGAATTTGAAAGGAGATATTTCCGAAAATGTCACGTTGACATTTTACCTTGAAAAGGTATGTGAAATTAGAATGTAATTAATTCTTTTGCAACTGTACTAAAGTACGTGTATTAACAGTGAAAGATATGGAAATGTTCATCCCTGTGGTCGACGTACTCAATGTTGAAGGTAAAGTAACTGAATACCTTAACAATAAACCTTATCCGAGGTGCTACACATACATCCATCAGGATATGCTTTGCTGAGATCGTTTGGCGACCATACTGGCTGCTGATCTCACTACATTAAAACCGACATTAAAATGGTTAGGTGGATGGAAGTTCTCAGCTGTTGCCGAAAGTGAATTGTTTATATAATTGTCATTTCCCTTTAATAAAATTGTTGTTATGTATAAGTGGTTGCTAACGATTAATGGTTGCTAACGTATAATGGTTGGTTGCTAACCATTAATGGTTGCTAACGATTAATAAGCTTCATCATTGTACTCGTCACTAAGGAGTAATTTATATTGTTATCGAGAGGTCGACGAAAAACGAAATTTGATACATAAGCACTTCGAATAAAGGAAAATCAAACGCCAAGTTCAAAATTTGGTTTTGCGCATGCGCAGTGCCAACTTTTTTACTTATGGAAGAATTTAAACGAAATTTGATACATAGGCACTTGGGATAAAGGAAAATCAAACGCCAGTTTCAAAATTTGGCTTTGCGCATGCGCAGTGCCAACTTTTTTGTTTATGGAAGAATTTAAATGAAATGTGATACTTGGAATTAAGGAAAATCTAGCGCCAGTTTCAAAATTTTATTTTGCGCATGCGCAGTGCCAACTTTTTTATCTATGGAACTATTTAAGTGAAATTTGATTCTTAGGCGCTTGGAACAAAGGAAAATCTAACATTAGTTTTAAAATTTAGGTTTGCGCATGCGCAGTTCCAACTTTCTTATTTAGAAAAGCATTGAAATGAAATTCTTCTTATAAACTGAAATTGAAGTAGCACGTGAAAAATGGATTGCACATGTGCAACGCTATCTTTCATATTTATGGCCGGATTTTTACGATTTTAACAGAAGTTGCATCTTACAAATGGGAAATGAATGCAAGTGGAAATGCGCTTTATGTAAATCGTTTACGATTACCTTTTTAATTTGACACTTGACACTTTTATATTTTTTTATGGTTTACCTCGGGTTTTACTTACCAGGAAATTGTTAAATCAACGGAATAACAATGAAATAATTAAAAAACTTTAAAAAATCAGAGGAACTCACGGGAACTCCAAAAGAAAATCGAGGGAACTCCAAGGAAATCAGAGGTATTTCGTGGAAGTTGGAGGAACTCGGAGGAAATCAGGGAAACTCCGAAGAAATCAAAGGAACTCTGAAGAACTCGAAGGAACTCAGAGGAAATCTAATATTTATAGGAAATCAGTGTACAAAATTTGGGTTGCGGTTTACCCCTCGTTTTATACCATCATGGTTTACAAGTCCGGTAGAGGGGTCCGATAGCTACCTATACGTATCAAATCCATTAACCTAGATGAAATGAAAGCAGTGGAAAAGGGGTGAGCTCGCTTTGCCTATTTTTATTCCTTCTTAAAGCTGAAGTATAGCGAAGGAAGATTCATTTAAAATCGCGAATCCTTGGAGATAATGGTAAAAGACGCGCAGTTAATAATTTGTTACAAGTAGTCAACCCGAAAATAGGTAGGTAGGTAGGTACTAATCGTGTCGCAAATTTGAGCGAATTTGTATTCTTTTCTGAATAAGCGCTTTTTTCAAGTTACTTGCGAATTGATAGGTAATTCGTAGAATAGAGAAAGAAAGTAGACTGTGTAATGACCCCTAACACTTGTTTTACATATAAGAAGCGATTTTTACAATTAGGTATATTATTAAAATTTTATTGCTAATCGGCTAGCTCATTCTGTTATGGAATAAAACTTATAATCAACAACGGAATGAACTTTATTTTTTTTACCTGATGCGCACCGTGCGCTGAGTAACGGACCTTGAATTTGTTGTTAATTTCAAATCAGGTTTCAAGTAATTTCATTGATTTTTAGACTGAGTCCTTGGATCGCATTGGTTGGTATACCCACAGATTAAAAGCTATAGGGACATTTTCTATGCATGCTTTCCGTTTCCTCCTCCGAGTTCACTAGGTGGTCTCAGCATTCCCTAGGTCAAAAGTATATTAACACGTAGGTTTACAAATATGAATAGTATCAAAAATTCGCAATTGTTTTTAATTTGTTGTTATTTCGACTTAAAACCCCACGGTGACAACATTTATTTGGTTTCGCGAAAATCTCCATCCGAGTGTTCCTAAAGATAACACCCCGCTCCGTCAATTTGTACGGGTTCTAGCACAATTTATTCTAAAAATATTGAGATGCCCCAACCTTAGCAATGTCCTGTGAATATTATTGTCGATACATCATGTTAGTTACACAAACTGCCAACCGAAATCTGGTGGGATTACAGAAAAGGGAAAGAGAGCGAAGATGAGACGGATGGAATTTCTTGGAAGACCACATGTGTTTACAATTTCAAACACCTGCAGTGCACTTTTTTCTTAGAAATGCGTGAAATGCAGGGAATGGGCGATTTTCGGGTGGTTTTTAGGGGTATTAGCAGATCAAATTACCGCGTGGCTTGGGTTGGTCAAATAAATAGGATTTAACATGTGTGTTCATGGTCTTTGTCTTGTAACCGGCTGAAGTGTAAAGTACGGCTTGTCTTGAAATATTTTGTGATACCTTAATCATTGCTGTGTGCTTTTGCTTTTTTAGATCAGGTGAGGTATTTGCTTTATTCAATTAATCTATAAATGTGTGTAACTTGAATGCAGATTGTAACACTTTACTTCTGTACTTACTTACTGAATTTAATCACTTGTACCTTTAATGTGTAACCTTTGTTGGTATTGGCAATCATGTTTCATTGTCGGTAGGGCTGTATCTGTGCTGTACATATTTGTGTATTGTGCTTTTTAGTCACTCTCGATTATTTCATTATATTTGCTTATTTGGGACTGTGAGTAATCAAGAGGGAAGTGTGCTTGTTTAGAGGGGATCGAGCTATTCAAGTTTATACGGCCTTGGTGAACCTAACACTAACATTTTCACTCGTTCCGAACCCAACAACTTTAGCCCAGGACTACAGGGTCTCCACT